TAGACGGCCCCGGGGGTTTATATGATTTTAATAGGGAGGAGTTTAGATAGATTTAAAAGGGATCCATATGAATTCAAAGGGATGAGCTTAATATAATGTAAAAGGGATGTGTGCGAGTCGAAAAAGGATCCGGGATGAGTGTGTATAATTTTAAAAGGAATCCATATATAGGCTTTTTCCAAATTCGTAGCCTCCGAGCCGACGCCTTGACATAAAACAGACCCCAAATCAGTGCCACGATTCGGGGCCGAGGGGGGCTCCTGGACCACCCCCTTGTCGGATTGAACGAAACCAATTTTTCAAATGGTTTCTTAAAGGGAATTAATGGTTTCGGGCCAGTTGGAATGGATGAGGTCGGCCTTTAAAATCACATCCGGCTTTAACATCATAAGGCCCGGCTTTAAGCCAAGAGACCAAGGCATCCAAATTCGGAGCTTCCGGGCCGGGGCCTTGACATAAAACAGGACCCCGAATCAGTGCCATTATTCGGGGCCGAAGGGGGCTCCTGGACCACCCCCCTTGTCGGATTGAACGAAACCAATTTTTCAAATGGTTTCTTAAAGGGAATTAATGGTTTCGGGCCAGTTGGAATGGATGAGGTCGGCCTTTAAAATCACAAGGTCCGGCTGTAACATCATAAGGCCCGGCTTGAAGCCAAGAGACCAAGGCATCCAAATTCGGAGCCTCCGGGCCGGGGCCTTGACATAAAACAGGACCCCAAATCAGTGCCATTATTCGGGGCCGAAGGGGGCTCCTGGACCACCCCCTTTGTCGGATTGAACAAAACCAATTTTTCAAATGGTTTCTTAAAGGGATTAATGGTTTCGGGCCGGTTGGAATGGATGAGGTCTGCCTTTAAAATCACAAGGTCCGGCTTTAAAATCATAAGGCCCAGCTTTAAGCCGGAGCCTCCGGGCCGAAACAAGCCCCAAGTCTTTAAAAAAATTGCCGGAATTCGGGAACCGTTTGACTTTAAAGAGGCACCCGCAAACAGTCAGGGGTTCCTGAATAAATCGGCCAGATTGACTTTAAAGAGGCGGCCCCTACTAAACAAGGTCCAACTTTACACCCTAAACCCTTATAAACCCAAACCCTAAACCCTAAACCCTAAACCCTAAACCCTAAACCCTAAACCCTAAACCCTAAACCCTAAACCCTAAACCCTAAACCCTAAACCCTAAACCCTAAACCCTAAACCCTAAACCCAGCCCCTAAGCCTGTCATCTTGGTACAAAACAAACTTGATATTTCTATGATACCCTTATTAGTAGTTAAAAAGGTGTTTTAACGGAACCGGTTCCAGAGTTATGGGGCGGTGTCTATCCTCAGTGGCTACCGGGTCGGTGTCTGACCATACTGGCAACCGGACGACGTGGGTAGGGTTTAGGGTTTAGGGTTTAGGGTTTAGGGTTTAGGGTTTAGGGTTTAGGGTTTAGCGTTTAGGGTTTAGGGTTTAGCGTTTAGGTTTTAGGGTTTAGGGTTTACTGTAGGGTTTAGGGGCCCAGTGCTGTCCTTTTCCACTTTTTTTGTTGGTCCTGGGTTTAGTTTCTTGGTAGCCCGCCGATTTTTTTTTGTTGGTCCTGGGTTCCCTGATACAGTAACCAACTCCAAAGAAAAGAGTGCCTCTATTGTAACATGGCTATTGGGCTACGAGGTGGTTTTTGGGGGGATTTGTGCCACCAGAGACCCCAAGTCCAAAGCCACCCGAAGGCCTAAACCCTCACCCCTAAAGCCGAAACCCTAAACCCGAAACCCTAAACCCCAAGGTTTGGGGGCTTCAAGACGGGGCTTTGCTGGTGTTCCCGCGCACGAAACCCTAAGCACCAAACCCTAAACCCTAAACCGGGTGTTCCCGCCAACCCGGGACCTGTCCTCTGCGGCCCGAAGCCCAAAACTCACCGCTTCTTTCCCAGGACCCAGAGCAGGCCCTTTTTCCCTTTTTTTAGGGTTTAGGGTTTAGGGCTAGGGTTTAGGGTTGAGGGTTTAGGGTTTTCCAGAATAGGCCCTTTTTCCCTTTTTTTGGGGTTTCGGGGACTCCCTTTTGTTTAGGGTTTAGGGCTCTGGGTTGAGGGTGTATATAGGGTTTGGGGTAACGAGGACGAAGAGGTATAGGTTCGCTGAACAGCCCTTTTAGACCAAAAGGGCACACAGCCTTATTCCTAGTGCACTTTTGGGTGTAGTAACCCTCAACCCTAAGCCGTAAGCCCTAAGCCTTGAACCCTAAGCCCTAAGCCCTAAACCCTAAACCCTAAGCCTATAAGCGCGAAGACCCTAACAGGGTTAGATAAGGAGCTAAGGTACCCAAATCCTGGTTCAGAACCGCTAGAGTTTCGGGTTTTTGGGGCTTAGGGTTTAGGGTGTAGGGCTTAGGGTTTAGGGTAAGATGTCTGCTTCAAGCAAACTTGGGTCTGACCCGCCATCATATCCTGGGTCTCCGCTGCTCCCAAACCTCGTCCCGGAAACGGTTTTACCGCCGAAAGGGTATCAAGGACCCAGGATAGGCCCTGATATCTCTTTTTTTAGGGTTTAAGTTTCCTGATAAGCCCCTTTAGACCAAAAAGGGCAGCCGTTTATTTCTGGCTACTCGTTGGTCCAGGTATTTGGTTCATGGCACACCGAGTTCCCGTGACTAGCTAGAGCTGGGGGGACGGCATAGTTTTGTCAGCTAGGGTTCTGGGAGCAGTTGATCTATCAGAAACCCTGAAACCTGAAGCCCGAAACCCTAAACCCTAAACCCTAAACCCAAAAGCAAGACAGGAGATGTTGGAGGACGTTATGGGATCGACGAGTCCATTCAAGGCCCTTGCGTGAGCCCTTTCCAGGAAGGTTTCGGGTTTAGGGTTTAGGGTTTTGGGGTTTAGGGTTTAGGGATCAGGGTTTGGCGTTTCATCTGGGCTATAGCTGCAAGTAGGGCCGAAAACTCCGAGCCTCAAGCCTCAATACGGCCAAGGTACTACCAGAATACTCCGTTTTATCTTGCTGTTTGTCCAGAGTTGGGACTCTTCATTACTACCAGAGCCACATTGTAATTTTCATGCTCAATAGAGCCAACAAGGGCCCACTAGAAATCCTGGTGAATATACTAGGTGTAATATACCTTGTGCAACTCCACCTCGATACTTGGCTGAAGAATGACCTTGACAAGTCCAATTTCTGGCCCTATTCACTTCGATCTGGGACTTGTTGCTGGAACATGCCCTAAACCCCTCAACCTTCCTTCGAGGTCCCTAGCTCTCTCTCTCTCTCTCTCAACCCTAAACCCTTTAGGGTTTAGGGTTTAGGGTTTAGGGTTCAGCATCTCAAGTTCGAGCATTTACTAGGCCAGCAGTGTGTGTAGGCAACGGAAAAAAACCCACCCGCCCAAAGAATCCCATAACATTAAGAAAATAAAAAGTTTTTCTTAATTTCTAGTCCGACGCACCCATGCCGTAACGTCTCACCCCTTCCAAGCACATCGCCCCCCGATAACCAAGACCTGGAATCATGCATTTTCACTGTCACTCGTAACGTCTCACCCCTTCCAAGCACATCACCCCCCGATAAGCAAGACCTGGAATCATGCATTTTCACTCGTAACGCCTCACCCCTTCCAAGCACATCACCCCCCGATAAGCAAGACCTGGAATCATGCATTTTCACTCGTAACGCCTCACCCCTTCCAAGCACATCACCCCCCGATAAGCAAGACCTGGAATCATGCTTGGAAGGGGTGAGATGTTACGAGTGAAAGTGCATGATTCCAGGTCTTGCTCTTATCGGGGGGTGATGTGCTTGGATGATGTGCTTGGAAGGGGTGAGACGTTACGAGTGAAAATACATGATTCCAGGTCTTGCTTATCGGGGGGTGATGTGCTTGGAACGGGTGAGGCGTTACGACGGGCCGATCCTGGGGTCACCCGGGGGGGGGGTGGGGGTTTGAGGCCCCGAAATTCACCGTTGCCGACTTTTGAGGGATTCACCGTTGCCGACTTTTGAGGCCCCCCGAAATTCAACGTTGCCGACTTTTGAGGCCCCCCGAAATTCACCGTTGCCGACTTTTGAGGCCCCCCGAAATTCACGGGGCCTCAAAAGTCGGCAACGGTGAATTTCGGGGGGGGGCCTCAAAAGTCGGCAACGGTGAAATTCACCGTTGCCGACTTTTGGGGTGCCCGAATTCACCGTTGCCGACTTTTGAGGTGCCCGAAATTCACCGTTGCCGACTTTTGAGGTGCCCGAAATTCACCATTGCAGACTTTTGAAAGCGAAATTCACCGTTGCCGACTTTTGAATTAGGGTTTAAATTATCATATGATAGAGAGGGTTTAGGGTTTAGGGTTTAGGCTTTAGGGTTTAGGGTTTATAAACTCTATAGGTCCTAAATCCTAAGCCGGCTTCGTACAATTCTGGACTCCCGAGACTCCCATTCCGATCACCGGTGGCACTTTTTGAGTTCTGGGCTGCGTGGTCTGGAGTGATGAAGATGCTTTCGGGCTCAAGGTTGTTAAGGGTTTAGGGTTTAGGGTTTAGGATTTAGGGTTTAGGGTTTAGGGGTTGGGGTTTCTTACCTCCTTTAAAAGGTTCTGAAGTATGGGCCCTAATTTGTACAGGGTACCCGTTTAAAGGCCCATACTAAGGGACCGTGAAACTACCCCAAGAGTGTAGAACACGTCGGACCTCATAAAGGTCTAGCGCGCTTGAGGGTTGTAGGGTTTGTCTCGGGGTGGGTGCACAGTCACATGTAACAGTCACATGTTTGGATGTTCCCCCTTATGCTAACAGTCCTTCATAGGGATTAATGATAGGGGGTACTATAATCCCTATTAAGGACTGCTTGTATAATTAGGGTTTAGGGTTTAGGGATAGGGGTTAAGAAGAGGGGGGGGGTGTACTGTAATCCCTATTAAGGACATGTGCCTCGTCTTGAAAGCTTGGACCGCCTGCCGCCGTTTCACTGCCCGTGCTCAGCACCCTCCTCACTTGCCCTGCCGCGCACTCCCCCCACAGCAAGGTGTCGCACAAGCATGTCGTTCTCGATCATGGAGCTGCAAGACGACGTGTTCCTCAGAAAGTTTTCAAAAGCGGGTTCCTGCCCCCCCCTAGTACTAGTACTCCAGCACCTACTCCCCGAACTCTAAACCCTAAACCCTAAACCCTAAACCCTAAACCCTAAACCTTAAACCCTAAACCCTAAACCCTAAACCCTAAACCCTCTAACTGCCGGGGTTTTGGTCACTGAGGTTGGGTGGCAGTCGCGCCTACGCCATCGCGAGTCTGCTCGCAGCTGCACCGGCACCTTGCTAGCCCGGTGGGACCTATTTTGCCCCTTTTCGTTGGGTTCTGGGCTCCCTCCTAAACCCTAAACCCTAAACCCCAACCCTAAACCCTAAACCTAAACCAACCCTAAACCCCAAACCTCAAACCCCAAACCCTAAACCCCAAACCCCAAACCCCAAACCCCAAACCCCAAACCCCAAACCCCAAACCCCAAACCTCAAACCCCAAACCCTAAACCCTAAACCCTAAACCCTAAACCCAAACCCTTTGCTACACAAGGCACTGTCCATGACCCTCGGATCGGCAGCTGTTGGCCTCGGTGTCCCGTCCCTTGGGGGAAATGACTCCGTAGGGTTTAGGGTTTAGGGTTTGGGGTTTAGGGTTTGGGGTTTAGCGGTACCCTTTTCCCTTTTTTGGGGTTCAAGGTTCCCTTATAAAGTAACCAACCCCAAAAAATGGTGCTCTCGTTGTTTTCTTGGTTCATGGGCTACCAAGCTCCTCAGGAGTGATGTCATGCTTCATGGTCTTACGCGTTTGGGGTTTGAGGTTTTAGGGTTTAGAGTTTAGGGTTCAGGGTTTAGGGCTCAGGCAAGCAACGACCCTGGGAATCATCTAACCTTTGGAGAGGATATGTGGCGGGAACTACTTGAACCCCAAGCGGAGGTTTGTGCCCGTAGACATGAACATTGATTGTTGCGTGGGGGTGTAGGGCAGGGTATGTGATGCAAATAATTTCAACTAAGAGGTTCATCTCTACATCTCCTAAGGAAGCAGATTGGGGGCGGGCTCAGAAAGGCCTGAGGCGGGTAGCTCCTTGTCAAGAACCTACCCCAAACCCTGAACCCTAAACCCTAAACCCTAAACCCTGAACCCTAAACCCTAAACCCTGAACCCTAGACCTCCCAAGGTCGGACGTTGTCCAGGCCCGGTTCCAGAACCTATCGGCTGGGCTCCTGATTGGTGCCTGGGCACCCTTTTGCATTCCTCGGTTGCTCTTGGTTCTAGTAGCCCTAAACCCTAAACCCTAAACCCTAAACCCTAAACCCTAAACCCTAAACCCTAAACCCTAAACCCTAAACCCTAAACCCTAAACCCTAAACCCTAAACCCTAAACCCTAAGTCTAGGCGCCTTGCTCGCAGAGATCTACCCGATGCTGCACCATCGCCTCATAGGTGACGAGAACGACAAGCACCTTGGGGAGCAAACGAACCCTAAATTTGGGTTTAGGGTTTAGGGTTTAGGGTTTAGGCTTTAGGGTTTAGGCTTTAGGGTTTAGGGTTTAGGGTTTAGGGTTTCGGGGGGGGGGGGGGGGGGGGGTCATCTACCACAATCCCTATGTGGGTATGTGAACTACAAACCTTTTTCCTAAGCCCTGAACCCTAAACCCTAAACCCTAAACCCGTTTAGGGTTCGTGTGGGTCCTCAGAAGGCATCTGGCAGTGTCGAACTGCGTGTCCGCCTTTGTGGGCTTCGTGCTGGCCCTGGTGGTAATGTACCTTGGCCTTCTTCTGGCTGGCTCTTAGGACTTGAACTTTTGGGCTTTTGTAGAAACTAGAATAAGGAGCCCAAAAGTGAAACTTTTCGGAGGTAAACCCTAAACCCGAAACCCTAAACCCTAAACCCTAAACCCCAAACCCCCCTAAGTCTGCCAAGGTACAGCCTCCATTCCCTGGAGCAGTCGCGCAGTGCCGCTGAGGCGCCGCAGACAGAAGCCAAGGAGTTTCTTGGGAGACCAAAGGTTTAGGGTTTTGGGTTTAGGTCTAGGGTTTAGGGTTTCGGGTTCAGGGTTTAGGGTTTAGGGCTACGTAGGGTTTAGGGTCTAGGGTTTAGGGTTTAGGTCGTATACCCCTAGTCCCTAAAACCCTAAACCCTAAACCCTAAACCCTAAACCCTAAACCCTAAACCCTAAACCCTAAACCCTAAACCCTAAACCCTAAACCCTAAACCCTAAACCCTAAACCCTAAACCCTAAACCCCAAGCCCTTCGCCCTAAGCCCTTCTAGGGGTTCTTGGGGTCCCCGAGGTTGGAGGATGCAGAGGCTCCCGCTTCACCCCGCGCCGTGGTCCTGCAGCGCATGGCCACGGCACAGATCGCCAAGTTGCGCAGTGCCCTGGGGGACCAAATGAGGGGTTTAGGGTTTAGGGTTTAGGGTTTAGGGTTTAGGGTTTAGGGTTTAGGGTTTAGGGTCATGTACCCTATACTACTACAACCCCCCCCCCCCTTTTTAGGGTTTAGGGTATAGGGTTTAGGGTTTAGGGTTTTGGGTTTAGGGTCATGTACCCTATACTACTACAACCCCCCCCTCCCCCTTTTTGGGTTTAGGGTTTAGGGTCATGTACCCTATACTACTACAACCCCCGCCCCCCCCCCCCCCCCCCCGCAGGACCCACAGAAGGCCCTTATTCCCTTTTTGAAGGGTTTAGGTTCCCCTACCACCTCCTCCAAACCAAAAAACGGCACCCAGTTTATTCCTGGGTTACTCCTGGGTCTAGCCCCTCTGAAGGTATAATGAACCCCCTAACCCTAAACCCTAAACCCCCTAAACCCCCTAAACCCCTAAACCCCCTAAACCCCTAAACCCCCTAAACCCTAAACCCCCTAAACCCTAAACCCCCTAACCCCCCTAAACCCCCTAAACCCCCTAAACCCCCTAAACCCCCTAAACCCCCTAAACCCCCTAAACCCCCTAAACCCCCTAAACCCCCTAAACCCTAACGCCTTTTGGGATTCACACGCGCGTCCCGAAGGTGGGAGCTCGAATCTGGACGTCGCCATCAGCACGCTCAGCAAGATGCAGAAGGGAGAGGGCGACATCGATATCGAGATGCTGGACGAGCACCCTGGGGGGCACCAAGTGAGCCCTAAAAGCTTGGGTGTCCACATGCCCTACATACATGCAACAAGTTCCTATCAAGGTCTAGCCCTAAACCCTAAACCCTAAACCCTAAACCCTAAACCCTAAACCCTACATCCTAAATCCTAAACCCTAAACCCTGTATGAAGCCCTAAGCCCTTTTAGGGTTCACTGTCCCCAAGGCAGCTGCACTCCATCGACTTCGCCCTGGACTCCATGCGCAGGACGTGCCATGGCGTCGACCTCCTCACCGGAATGGCCACCCAGGAGAGGGTTTAGGGTTTAGGGTTTAGGGTTTAGGGTTTAGGGTTTGTAGTTTGTAGGGTTTAGGGTTTAGGGGTTGGGGTTTAGGGTTTAGGGTTTAGGGTTTAGGGTTTAGGGTTTAGGGTTTAGGGTTTAGGGTTTAGGGTTTAGGGTTTAGGGTTTAGGGTTTAGGGTTTAGGGTTTAGGGTTTAGGGTTTAGGGTTTAGGGTTTAGGGTTTGTAGGGTTTTTAGGGTTTAGGGTTTAGGGGTTGGGGTTTAGGGTTTAGGGTTTAGGGTTTAGGGTTTAGGGTTTGTAGGGTTTGTAGGGTTTAGGGTTTAGGGTTTAGGGTTTAGGGTTTAGGGTTTAGGGTTTAGGGCTAGCCACCCAGGAGGCGCGGGCGAAGATTGCAGACTTGGTGCAGGACGTCGAGGCGTTGCAAGCGATGAGTCCGCGGAAGGTCGCCCAAGAATTCTACTACTTGCTCAAAGTTTAGGGCTTAGGGTTTAGGGTTTAGAGTTTCTACTATTTGCTCAAGAGCCGCAAAAGAATACAAGAACACAATCCCTATAGTACCCTCCTTACAAGGAACACTTGTTTTTTTGTATTATGTTTTGTTTTTTTTTTTTGTTTTTCATTTTTTTTTGGGGGGGGGTTCTTCAGCAAATGGGGGGGGTTCTTCAGCAAATGGTTGTAACTACGTAGTATCAGCTCTTCGGATCTTTGATTTTTCTGTTCTGCGGCACAAGAGGATCCCCCGTGTACGAACATCTGTCTACAGGGGCTTTGAGTTTGAGGGTATGAACGAAGGGGGCTACTTGGAGGTCCATGGATACTTGAAAACCCCAAATAGAAGTATACTACTTTGGAGCCTAAAAGTACAGTCGTAGTTGGGGTTATAAGTACCCCTGAACCCCTAAACCCTAAACCCTAAACCGCAGTTACTCAGGTCAGCGTCATGGACTCTCAGCTCCAGCGGGCGAGCGCCAGCCTGAAGCGGCTGCATGCGCAAACAAACCCGGGAGCCTTCCGGCGATGGGGACTGCATCGGACCGCAACGCCTGGATCACAGGTGAACCAGCTTAGTGATCTTTGTCATAGTTGGGTAACATTTTACATTTTTAAGGGTACTTAAACCCAATAAGGAATATAAATTTAACATTTAATATTACCCAACAATGAACAAGAGATCCTAGGACTTTGCAAGCAGTGCTCCGCTTTGAAGGTTCAACCCGAAGCTCTCTAGACCCAGTTTGTCTTCCAGGATGACTCGAAATCCCAAGCCCTCAGAAAACCTTACACTTGGGATGCTCCCCCTTGTACTAACAGTTATAGTACCACCTACCTGAATAGGGATTATAGCACCCCTACGAAACTCCCTACTAAGGTCTGTTAGCATACAGGGGGGAACATCCCAACCTTACACCCCAACGCGGCAGGCTACGTACTCAAACTCCCAAACCCTAGAAAACTTGGGGTTTAGGGTTTAGGGTTGAGGGTTTCCCCAACCCTAAACCCTAAAACCCTAAAACCCTAAACCCTAAACCCTAAACCCTAAACCCTAAACCCTAAACCCTAAACCCTAAACCCTAAACCCTAAACCCTAAACCCTAAACCGTTGCGGATCCCAGGACCAGGATCGCTGCCGCCTACCCTGGGGTCTCATCTTCGCCGTTGCCATCGACGCAGCCGTGGATGGTATGCTCATCGGCCTCTCCACGTCGACCTCTGTTGCTAGGCTTCGGGTTTGGGGTTTGGGGTTTAGGGTTTGGGGTTTAGGGTTTAGGGTTTGGGGTTTGGGGTTTGGGGTTGAGGGTTTTGGGGTTTGGGGTTTGGGGTTTAGGGTTTGGGGCCCGAATACCTCATACCCTAAACCATACACCACACCCTGAACCCTGAACCCTTAAAACTCTCGACCCGAGTTGCAAGAGCTAGACCCTAAACCCTAAAACCCTAAACCCTGAACCCTAAACCCTAAACCCTTAAAGGGCCCAACAGCAGAGGTTGGCGCCGGGATGCTGATGGCTATCGCCACGGTCATCGAGATCCTTGGGGTCAGAATGTGCTCGAAAGTTGGGGTTTAGGGTTGGTTTAGGGTTTAGGGTTTAGGGTTTAGGGTTTAGGGTGTAGGGTGTAGGGTGTAGGGTTTAGGGTTTAGGGTTTAGGGTTTGGTGTTATATCCCCAAAACCCTAAACCCTCAAGACCAGGATAAACAGAACGTCGTATGTGATGCCATTCTGAATTTCCAAAGTTTTGTGTCTAAACAAGTTGGCACCACACAAAGCCCCGTCCCCGAAAGCAAAGTCCAAGCACTGAGCCCAAGTAAATTGATCCACAGCGTCCCTCAAAGCCAAACGTTCAACTTACTCAAACCGCTGCACTTGACAACGTATCATTCTGAATGTGCCTTGCTATTTGTCTAACCCTATACTTCCAGGGACCCAATAGTTAGGTTCCTAGAACCCTTAAGGTCTCAAATGCTAGGTCCCTGGAAGTATAGGGTAATCCACAAAACGAATGCAATCAAATCACCGAAGGTCCCAACAGGCGCCCAAAGGCCCCCAGGTTTAGGGTTTATAGGGTTTGTAGGGTTTTTTGGGGTTTTTTGGGGTTTATAGGGTTTAGGGTTTAGGGTTTAGGGTTTAAGGCGCCAAAAGGCCTCCAGAACAAGGGCCGCCTCGAGAGGTCCAAGGCCCAAGCCCCGGGACACCAAGAGGCCAAGCAGCCCACACGGCCAAACGGGGTTTAGGGTTCAGGGTTTAGGGCAAGGGTTTAGGGTTTGAGGTTCAAGGGTTAGGGATCCTCTACCCCGGTCCGTATGAGACCCCTAGTACCGGAGACCTCTTATAGACCCTGAACCTAAACCCTAAATTGCGGTTTAGGGTTTAGGGTTTAGGGTTTAGGGTTTAGGGTTTAGGGTTTAGGGTTTAGGGTTTAGGGTTTAGGGTTTAGGGTTTAGGGTTTAGGGCTGAGGCGATTTAAGGTTTAGGTTTTTTCTTTTTTCGGTGCCCTTTTCGTGCCCAAAGGATGGGATTTCTCGGCTACAGCTTCTCCTGCTCGCTCGTATGCGAAGTGACGAAGCTGGGCTGCTGTCAGGGAGGAGCTCGTAGGCTTTCCAGGGAGGAATTAAGGGCTTCAAAAAACAAACCTAAAGCTTAAACCCTAAGCCTTATAAACCCCAAGCCCTAAACCCTGAACCCTAAACCTTATAGCCCTAAACCCTGAACCTTATAACCCTAAACCCTGAACCTTAAACCCCACACCGCAAGCTTGGGGGTGAGTTTCTGGAACAGCAGCCCAGGAAATTCAAGTGGCGCGGCGGCGTTCTTGCGGGCTTGTTGGCACTGCCTCCCCTGTGCCTTCTGGCGTTTGGCGTCTCGCATCCTGAGTTTCTACTCTGTTTGAAAGGATGCAATGGGTTTAGGATTTAGGGATGGTTTAGGGTTTAGGGTTTAGGGTTGGGGTTTAGGGTTTAGGGTCTAGGGTCTAGGGTTTTGGGTTTAGGGGTTCTTAGGCAGCCCCAAAAAGGTGTGGTCCTATTTAAAGTGCGCGAGCCGTGGACCGTGGAGTCGTTTGAGGCTCATTTCGTCCCCAACGCTTTCTTTTGTTTCGTGGCTTTAGGGTTGGGGTTTAGGTTTGCATCTTTGACTGGCCCTTACACAAAGAGTAAAGGAGTTTAGGGTTTACCCTAAACCCTAAACCCTAGACCCTAGACCCTAAACCCTAAACCCTAAATGTCACTAAACCCTCTTAACGACCGAGGCGTGGGAGCTTTTGCCATCGGCGAAGCACTTCAGAGCTGCTTCGTCTTTACGGGCCTCGTGAGCTTCGCTCTGGTTGCGGTGCTCTTCCTCGTGATTCAGGAGCTCCTGCTGTTTTTAGTTTCAGCTTTTTTTTTTTTTTTTTTTGGGGGGGGGGGGAGTTGTAGAGTCTTAGTTTTAGAGTTTTAGAGTGTTAGGGTTTGGATTTTAGGGTTTAGGGCATTTTAGGGTTCAGCGGGTTCTAGGACCCAAGGTAAGCTCTTTTTCCTGTCTTTTAGGTTCTCGGTTCCCTTGCGAGCCCCTTTTGAACCAAAAAGGGTACCCTTTTTTGGTTTAGGGTTTAGGGTTTAGGGTTGAGGGTTGAGGGTTGAGGGTTGAGGGTTGAGGGTTTAGGGTTTAGGGTTTAGGGTTTAGGGTTTAGGCTTCCTCTTGGGTCTGACACGAGCTTCCCAACAAGATCCCTGATTCAGGAGCTCCTGTTAGAGGCAGCAGAGAAGAACGAGGATGAGAACTGGAACGTGAGCATCTTCATCTATGTCGGCCTCTAGGTAGGCGTTTGGGACATTTTAAGATGACTATGTTTACTACTGTCTGCTTGAGAACCACCCCCCCCCCCCAAAAAAAAAAGAGATGTATATATATATATATATGTGTATATATATATAGACATAAATGCATGTATATATATATATATATGCATATATATATATATACATATGGGCAATACACGGATGTTTTTGAGTTTCTGACGCACATACTTGTTTAGGAACCTTTTTTGAAGGCTTTTCAAGAGGGCCATCCTAGGACTCTTCATCAGCTTCGGACTGGAGGTGTTTCTGTGAAGCAGAGCGCCTCTCAGTGCCCTGCGTGGCGAGGCAAGTCCTTACAGCCAGGCCTAGTATATAAACCTAGGACCTGCACAGCATTTTACCCAAAGGGTCCTCAGTACCCATATGGGGGGGACACTTACCCAAGCAAGAATAGCAATTCCTGTTCTAGAAGCCCTACTTTCTGCTATGTAGGTACTTAGGACCCTTTGGGATTAGAGTAATTCGTTCTTTGAAGTTGCGTGAAGCTCACCCATTGTGCAGCTACCCGTGAGGTCCTTCACACATTTTTGTCTCAGGAGACGTGGGAATGTGGTGCGAGGAGAAGTTGCTGGATGTGTAAAGCACAGCCGCCCTTGCACCCCTTGCTGAGCCAAAGTGGCTTCAGCCTCGCGCGGGCACATCGGCTCAAGTCCGAGACAAGGCATGACATACGGTTTAGGGTTCAGGGTTTAGGGTTTAGGGTTTAGGGTTTAGGGTTTAGGGTTTGGGGGTTTGGGGGTTTGGGGGTTTGGGGGTTTAGGGTTTTTGGGGGGTTTAGGGAGATGTCATCCAGCAAACATCAGCCCTCAGCCCTTCGAACCGACGACCCGTCTCAGCGTGATGATCAGTCTGAGAAACTAGGACCCAGAGTAGGCCCCGATTTTTGTTTTAGCCCATGTCTGTTATTGGGGGTTTAGGGTTTAGGGTTTAGGGTTTAGGGTTTAGGGTTTAGGGTTTAGGGTTTAGGGCTACTAGGGTTTGGGGTTTAGGGTTTAGGGGAACGAGGACCCAGGGTCGCTAATTCTCTTATTGTTAGGGCTTAGGTTAAGCCCCTTTAAACCTAAAAGGGCACTCTGCTTTTAATTCCTAAGTTACTCTTGGGTCTAGTAGCCCTAAACCCTAAACCCTAAACCCTAACCCTAAACCCTAAACCCTAAACCCTAAACCCTAAACCCTAAACCCTAAACCCTAAACCCTAAACCCTAAACCCTTTTCGGGTTGTAAGTTACTCTCGCGAGCCTTTAGAGTTGGGATCTTCGATCCCCCAATACTAGGGTTTCGGGTTTGGGGCTTTGGGTTTGGGGTTTAAGGGTTTAGGTTTAGGGGCCTCAACAGAAGATACCTTCTTCTTTCTCCGAGGCTGCACGTGAACCTACTAAGTTCCAAGCCCAGTTTAGGGTTTGGGGCTTCGTGCAATTATCCCGCGCAGCCCCTGAGCCCTAAACCCTAAACCCCAAACCCTAAACCCTAAACCCCAAACCCTAAACCCTAAACCCTAAACCCTAAACCCGAAACCCGAAACCCTAAACCCTGTCCTCTCAGGGGTTGATTTGGTCCGTTGGGGCAGGCCTACTTGGTGAACAGCATCTCGTGCCCGAACGTGACTCTGGGCCGGGGTGCCTGGTTCGTGGTTTCAGGTCTTGCCCGGCTTATGGGTTGTACCGTCTAACTCCACTTCCCCTAACCCCAAACCCTAGACCCTAAGCCCTATACCCTAAACCCTAAAACCCTAAAACCCTAAAACCCTAAAACCCTAAAACCCAAAACCCTAAACCCTAAACCCCAAACCTGAACCCTAAACCCTAAACTTAGCAGTAGGTTTTAAAAAATGGAGTCTCCCATGAGCCTCAGTAAGTCAGGAGAAAGGGGGTATGTCTGGTCCTCCTTCGGGATGTGGGGCCCCACGCCTAAACGGTTTATGGGTTTAGGGTTTAGGGTTTAGGGCTTAGGGTTTAGGGTTTAGGGTTTAGGGTTTAGGGTTTAGGGTGACTTCAAACCGGGCAAAGTTCCGGTGGAAGGGGTGCGTCGTCCCTATCGACGCCCACGAGCGTCCTGGTCAACACCAGCGAGCCACCCTACTGCATACCTTCTGCCTCAAAGTACAAAAAGCAAAGCATAAATCCTAAACCCTATAAACTCTATAAACCCTATCAACCCTATCAACCCTTATTACTAAACCCTAAACCCTAAACCCGGCAACAGGCCCGGAGCTTGGTGACCTTGGTGGGCAGTCCGTTCCCGGGATCACCGCCATGGGGATGCCCTCCGTCTGCATCTTTTTTTTGGCCGGGGGGGGGGGGGTACTGAAGAGCCCCTAAGGATCCATGTACCTGAGTTAGGGTTCAGGTGTCGGGTTTTAGGGCTTAGGGCTTAGGGTTTAGGGTTTAGGGTTGTTCCCCCTTATACTAACATTCCTTAACGGGGAGTACAACAGGGGTACGATAATCCCTACTGAGGACTGCTAGTAGAAGGGGGAACATCCCAAGTTTAGAGTGTTGAGTTGGTTGACTGTAAGGGCTTATGGTTTCTTCTTTCGATGTGTTTCAGTGCTGACTTGCATGTTTCTGCCCCTGTGGCCTACTTGAACCAACCACAGCGCCCCAAATAATTGCCCATGCACCCTTTGTCTTTGGACCAGGGGCTGTCGCTCGCAACATGTTGGGGGGTTTAGGTGCTCGAGGGAAAACAGTGATCGAGAATGTTAACTCTTTTTGTTTTCTCATTTTTGTGTTTGTTTTTTTCTTGTGTTTGGGGGGAGGGGTGGAGGGGCGAGGGAAACCTCAAACTCCCAACGTTTTAGAGGTTGAAAGAAATCCCTAAACCCCTAAACCCCAAACCCTAAACCCCGAACCCCAAATCACACGCGAGCCTACCAGGGACGGCTTTACTGTGGAGGGCAACGACGTTCCTCCGCTGAGCTACTACATGAGCACGGCCATCCCCCCCGGGTTTACGGGTTTGGGCTTTGGGGTCTAGGGTTTAGGGTTTAGGGTTTGGGGTTTAGGGTTTAGGGTTTAGGGACACGGCCATCCTTTGGGGTGGGCCCTCCTTCTTTTTGTTGGGACGTGTTGGGATTGAGGGGCTTAGGGTTTAGGGTTTAGGGTTTAGGCTTTGGGGTTTAGGGTTTAGGGTTTAGGGTTTTATTGTTTAGGGTTTAGGGTGGGTTTTGGGGGTTCAGGAGTGAAGGAGTGTAGGGTTGTGGAGCTTAGGCTTTGGGCCTGAGCGTGTCAACGTGCGGCCCCCCACTCATGAAGAGGTGGGTACAATACTTCGCAGAGGCATCTGCTAGCCCTCGTTCTAGGCGTTTCCAAAACTAGGAGACCCCCTCACCCCCCTCAAGATACTACGGCCCGTATTTTCAGACCCTAAACCCTAAACCCGAAACCCTAAACCCTAAACCCTAAACCCTAAACCCTAAACTTCAATATTCGGAAGCTCCCATATCACTCTTACTCTTGACAATGATTGCTATGCTTGTGTGGGGAGCCCCCCCAGGTTGAGAAGTTCAAGCCCAGAGGCCAACAACCCCAAACCCTAAACCCTAAACCCTAAACCCTAAACCCTGAGCCTTAGCTTCTGACAGCGGTTTGGGGTTTCGCTTGTCCGCTCGCCACCTCGCATCTCAGACACGAAAGCCCGACACCCCAAACCCAAACCCAAACCCTGCCCCTCCCTCCAGAACCGCTTGGAGGTTCATGGGTTCGTATAACCCCCTTAGAAGTCGACGTGCATCCTACTTAGAGGGCTTGAGGGCTTTTGAGTCATGAGTATATCTACAGTTAAGAGGGCCTTCTAGGGTCCCCCGCCCCAAAAACAATTCTCAACATTGCGTTGAGCCTCATTCTACGGTGCCCCTAGATGTGCAACCCCCCCCCCCCCCCCCCCCTCAAGTTTTTGAAGCAACAAGAAGGGATGGCGCCAATGAGTCTTAACCCTAAACCCTAAACCCTAAACCCTCAACCCAGATCTGCATCATCACAACGCTTCGGCGCGAGTTGGCGGTTTGCAGGGGGTTTGCCTCAGGTGTCTCCCTCTCGGGCCTATAAACCCTAAACCCTGCACCGCATATAAAGAATAGGGCGTACAAACCCTAAACCCTAAACCCTAAACCCTAAACCCTAAACCCTAAACCCTAAACCCTAAACCCTAGGGTCGCCGAATCTCCATCAGATGCAAAGGTGAGAGCACTGGAATGACTGGACTAGGGTTAAAGGAGGGCGGGTGGGGGGGCAGAGGGTTGAGGGGTGTAGGGTTGAGGGTTCGGGGTGTAGGGTTTAGGTTTGCCAAAGCCCTATACCCCTAAACCTCCTTGACCCCCCCCCCCTCCCCACCCCCCCTCCCCACGCCCCCTCCCCCGGCCCCCACCCCCCACCCACACAGCAGGCTAAACCCAAAACCCTAACCGGCGGCGAGGTAGGCCCTCCGGCGTAGGACGGAGCTCCGGTCGCTGGCGAGAAACCCGTCAGGTCGCCCTAGAATAAGATACCCCAAACCCTCGGGCAGAACGCAGCAACCTCCTTTTAGGAGGTGCCCCAAGCCCAAATCTCGGACTTTTTTTGGCACGTTTCGAAGGCATCACAAAGCCACCACGCCTCCCAAACAAGGCCTTCCGGATGCAGCATCAGCGAGGGCGAAGGCGGCAACAACCCCTTCCAAGCAAGTTTTTCACATCCCCAACAGGGACGCAGCATCGCCAAGCACGAAGGTCCCAAACCTCTGAGTTTTTGGCCCTCCCAGAAGCCCTCGAATGATGGACATCATCCCTTGCAACGCCAAGGGGCTGCGAACTTCAGGGTAATTGATCTGCATCGATGCCGAGCTTCTAAACCCAACCACTGGAAAAGAGAGTTCAAAAGAACCCTAAACCCGTAGAGGTTAAGGCGACGGTGGAGCGCCAGCGGGGGTGGGCTCCTGCAAGTCGGGGCGCGCGCCTGGGTGCTTTCAGCACCAGCGCGCACTCACTGAGACACCCTAAACCCCAAACCACAAACCCTAAACCCCAAACCACCCTAAACCCTAAACCCTAAACCCTAAACCCCAAACCCCAAACCCCAAACCCTACACCCGAAACCCTTTGCCAGCCTATGACCGGGAGCTGCCCATCTTTCACCGGCGGCACCTGCAGGGACACCTAGATGGCCGGTACAGGGTTTAGGGTTTTGGGTTTAGGGTCAAGGGTTTAGGGTTTAGGGTTTTAGCTTTAGGGGCGAATTGTGTTCGAACCCTGAACCCTAAACTCCCCGTTTTGGGTG